GATAAAAGACATCAAATATATACGGAAACAATTAAGTCCTGTTATAGCAAATTTTATGAATATGTGTACGTTGAAAAGTATTTATCCCGATCAGTTAAAACATGCTATTATAAGCCCTATATATGTCAGGAAACCACTTATAATATGTTAATTGTAGACCTATAGACATATTATCTATTATTGATAAAATTTTTGAAAAAATTATTGTAAGCCAAATTTCTAAATTCTTGGAATGTCATATTTTGTCAGACGCTCAGCACGGTTTCCGCCCGAGGCGCAGTACAGTTTCAGCACTAACGGAATATGCCGATTATTTAAACGAGTCTTTGGACGCTGGTAAACAAATTATAACACTTTTTATAGATTATAAAAAGGCGTTTGACACCCTGGATCATGACATTCTACTACAGGCGATGAATGAATGTGGAATACGAGGGCCTACGAATAAATGGTTTCGGTACTACCTGAGTAATAGGAAAATGCGTACGATGATAGCTGGTGTGACTGGTGAGGATATGCATGTAGATCTGGGGGTGCCGAATAGATCAGTATTTGGTCCATTAGGATATGTGATGCATGTGAATAGTGTGTCAAATGTCGTAAACAAGTGCCGAGTTTTTATGTATGCCGATGATATGTGTATTGTTTATGCTTCCAAGGATATATCCGAGATACAAAGCTGTGTACAAGAAGATTTTGAAAGTATAACTAAGTGGGCACACGATAATGGAATTATATTGAATATGTCGAAAACCAAGTGTATACATACACTCACCATACAATCGACAAGTTAAAATCATTAATAAAGAACAGATACATATAATTGGCCACTAATATGAATGCCTACATGCTAATAAAATCAACTGCAGGTGTGATAAATTAGATTATGTCAATACATTTAAATATTTAGGCTTAACTATTGATCAAAATTTTAGCTGGAAAACGCATTTTAATGACATATTTAATAAATTAAGATCCATGGTATGTAAGTTTTATCAATAAAATGCAGTTGTAGACAAGCACACGTTACGCATTGTGTATTATGCGCTTACCGACTTAATGATTAGCTATGGACTTATTGTATATGGGCGGACGTTTTGCACCCATTTAAAAAATAAATAAATTTACAAATAAGGCTGATTCAGTACCTAGTGACCAAAAAAGTTAAAGATAATTGTGGACAGGACTATAGTAACTTATTTCCAATTTGTAAAATACTGCCTGTAGACAAAAAAAATCGGCATACGTCACTACTATAGTAACGAGTATAAAAGATATGTTAATAATAAATATGATACAAGAAGTGTAAAATGTAAAATGTTTGTTAAACCGAGAATGAATAATTATTATGGGGAAAGATTATCGAAATTTCTAATACCTAAGATATTTAGTAAATTTGAACTTTTGAGAGGGAGTCCGCAACTCAGTAAAAATGTGTTGAAATCAAAACTCAAATAGTTGTTTCCTTATAACAGAAGTATATCATTGTTTTAATTACTGCCTGTGTTGGTTACAATTATAGTGTAAAGAAATACTTAATAAATGTGTATAATCAATATTATAAGTAAATTAGTAGTATACTTAGAAGATATTATGTTGAAAATCGAGCGTGTCTCGCCATCAAACGTAAAAGTTTGGCGAGAATAGCTATGAAGCCTATTCTTTGTGATAAATAAAATTTTAAAAAAAACTTAGTTTTTCCACCGAGTCCGAAAACAACACGACGAACAAGGAACAACACGTAACACTTATCTCTTGTCAAACTCAAAATATTGCCTGTCACTGTCATCAAGCATTGCGTTCAATAAGTGGGTTGCCATAGCGCAAGCGTTAATCCCGGCGTAAGGAATGTATAGTTAGTCCGAGGTTACTGCATGTTTATTAATAACTCAGTTACTCTGAGATAAGCCAGTCTAAGTGTTACTTCGAATTAAGCTTGGAATAAGCAATTTTTATTAATAAGACAGTTGATGATTAACGCAGATCGGATTGTATCTCAATCGAAGGTAGAAATTAAGCAATCAGTTGAGAAGTAGTATCGAATGCAGGATAAATATGATCACTTATTATTTTTGAACGTGTGTTTGTTACTGTTCTGTTCCAATGCGGCTAATTGAATAACGTATTTTAAATTTTAGGCTTTTGTATTTATGAAAGAATTAATTAAAACGGATTGGACGGAAATCCAAGCTCACGAAGAATTTATTGGACCGAAACTATTTACGGTGAGTGTTTTAAAATATAATAAAAAAAAATATGTTACGGAAATTCATAAAATTAAAATTCAAAAATTTAATAATAACTAATAAATTAATAATTAGCGGAACTTTTTAATGTTTAACGCAGTATTAAATTTAATTTTTCTCTAGTTTCCCGTTGATTCGTATACAAAGGACTTTATTGTAGCATTATCAGGCGAATATGCATCTTTGGAAATAACCGACGAATATGGACGAAGTCCTACTATCGAGAAAATTGTTGATACACGTCAGTCCCAGGTAATGCTTAAATTAAATACGGTCGTGGCGGTATTATACTTCTTTTTAAAAACGCTGATATTAGCATCTCTTCTGCTCTGCGTCATCTGCTTATGGCATTATGCAATTTTGCAGATGCAATCAAATCATCTGCCTTTGATGGGCACCAAAGAGGATGGGATAAAAAATTCCATTCCATGCAGCATCACCTCAGCTACAGAATCAGCAACAACGCTGGGATCATCCGACAAGAAGCAAACCCGCCCCTGCATACTACCCGTATGCAAAAAAATCACATCTCATCCCAATCAGCTGACCTGTAATGCCAAACATGGCGGCAATCCGCAGTATGCAACCGCGACGAGAGCGAGAGTGAGAGTCGAAAGGGGCATCAATGTAGACCTGATATCCGTCCGGATAAGAGGTCAGCAGAAGATCCAACAGGAAAGGTACATGATCTTAACATTGCGACAACCTGCATAACGTAACTGCGATAAGAGAGTGAGTGGCACCGTACTCGGCGGAGATCTGATATCTGATATCTGGGAGCGACGCACGTGAAAATTTTTAGAATAATAAAAGAAGACTATTATCACTATTTAATTATATTGCAAACTATTTGACATATATTATAGCTATTTAAATACAAATAGAAAGAGTGAATGAATTAGGTCCGTTTTTTTATTACATAATTATTTTAGATTCAGAGTTGTGTTTTTTATTAATTATTGTAAAGTGTATTTATCTTATTGTAAATAAAATAAATACTTATTGAAGTAATTGTTTTCTTTTACAATTTTTTCGGAAAAAAATCGCTTTTAGCAATTTCACCATGGAATTTAAAATATATAAAACAAGGTGAATGTACACACTTACACATATACTATTAGCTTACTTAACAATAATTCTAACAACATATTACTTTATACAGTTTGGTTGCGCGGAAAACCATTCGCGTTTTTATTTTTGACGGTAGGAACTTGCCGAATCATTATTCCCTTTCCCAAACGATATCATTCATACCCTCCTATCGACACATCGGGGTGATAGGGTGGGAGGGGAAAGAAGACGATTCTAGAAAATCGCGTAATCATCGGACCCGAGGATATATAAGACACGCGCGACCGACGCGCGCCCGCTTCTTCCCGTCGCAGCCGTCGTTGAACTACAACGCTTCTCTCTTCCCGCGCGCTCGTTTGGAAACACCTCACTAGTGGAAACCGCTTTGGCCTGGAAGCAGTCGAGCTCCAGGAACCCGCCTCACCTCGTGTGAGATATCGTCGCGCACCGCCTCTCTCCGGAGTGTTCCAGAAGTCGCTATAGTGCTCTAAAGGATAGAAGAACCCCGGTGAGTCAACATTCCTTAATTTACTGCCTGATTAATATTTAATAATTGTTTAACCGCTCCAATTCTGTATTCTCCCCATCAGGCAGGATTCCTTTCATCGATTTGGCAAGTAATAGTTTTAGTTTAGGGAAGAGCGAGTGCATTGTACTGCATGCTATAGTAGTCGCTTTTACATAAGCATAGAAGCAATCGCAAATACAGTCCACTTTAGTTAATATCTCGCGTAATAGGTTTGAGGTTTGACCGGGGAACTAGATTTTCGGCAGCCTAAAACACGTGGCTCCACCACAGTTTCCATTCATAATTATTAAGATATTGTCATTTTAATGACACGCGTCACGTAGGCAATGGCTGTGGTGTTGTCTATTCTCAACAAAGAACCATGCCCATTTTCCATACATTTAAAACCTGATAGTGAAAGTTTATGTATGGTTATAAAGTATAGTAGAAAAACTGCGTGTAAGGTTAATAAATAATGTCATATTGTCATTTATACGATTTAAACGCTACGAAGTTCAAAAAATATTAACGTTACTTTTTAGGTTAGGATTTGCCATTACCAAATAGGTGATAAAAAAATAAATGTGCTTGAACTTATTACTAGCGCTCGAAGTTAAGATAGGATTACTTGCTGAGCTATGGTCTAAAAGTCTTTTTTCTTTGTGAGTTCCTTGAAAACAACTGCCCCTAAGTCACTAAGTGACTTAGGCCAACTGCCTCTAATAATAATAATAAAAAGGCGTAGGGAAGTGACGACCCCATCGCCCGCTGACGTAACAGTTATGTGACAAAACTGATACGTCGGCGCAGTCAGTCAGCACACTGCCAAGAGGTGTGAGCGCCGTGCCTAGGCAAAATTGTGGATGTAAAGGTCCGTTTGTGCATATGACCGAACCACGAAACGGTGCCGGGCTTGGGCGTGTCCCGTTATTTGGCGCCCATAAAATGGATGATGGCACAAAGAGAAACGCGCATGGGGCCGCTGCCTGGGGGTCGCCGGGGGCGCGTCTGGAGCTGGCGCTGGACGCGGCAGCTTGCGGGCCGCCAGCCGAGCGCGAGGATCTGCACGGTCACCTAGCAGCTCTCAGCATCCATCATCCCCACCAGAAGGCTTGGTGTCGGCTGGGTCTTCCCGGACTCAGCAAGCGGCACCCGCCGCTGGTGGAGCACGTTGCATGCGTTGGTCACAAACAATGAACGCTAACGCACTGCGGCCGTACTTTAGGGCAAAAGGGGAAGAAACTGGATGTTTGGCGTATCGGGCTAGGAGGCATCGTCTTTTTGGTGAGCTGGAGCCATCTTTGACCGTCACAGAGCAAAACCAGGCAGACCGAGTTCGGTATATCTTGAGCTCAAATATATTTGATGTCGCCGAACTCGAACGGCTACGACGTGATGTTTTTCCCTCATCGGATGAAAATGCTACGGCTGAGGATGCGGCGCCACAAATTGTAGAGCAACCCGCAAACGTGGATGCCACCGTGAATACCCCAGTTGTGGTTGATTCAAACGATGATGGAACAGTCACCCAGGAACTGGAATTAGAGCATATGAGGAGTACATTGGATGAGGTGATTGTAGAAACTATTGTAAGGGCTCTGCACCCAATGCTGTTGACCTATTTGGAAGCCAGCCGGAACCTTTGCTAGACGGGCTCAAATCTCTTTGGCGCCGCACTGGCAGTCTGCCGTATTATATGAGCCAAACTTTCCACGGCTGGACGCACTACTGGACAAAGAAGTGCTATCCCAGCCTAGAAAACAATAATTGAAGAACGTATCGCAAAGGCTAGGGCCCTCATCGGCGGACTGATATGCTTCAGGTCAGGCAATACCAGGCCAATTATTGTGCGCACCGTCAGGATGCTTGCTGAAACTAATGTTAGATTGTCTCAGCCGGATATAATGCAAAAACTGACGGAGCGCATAGACGACCTGAAGCAGAGGATCGCTGCTTGGGGAAAGCGGATTCGGCGATATACCGATAGGTCGACACGGTTCAACCAGAATCGTCTCTTCCAGAGTGATCAGAAGAGGCTCTATAAATCAAAGAAAAGGAGGAAGGAAAGTTCGGGGCTTGACGGGCTGCATCACTACTGGCTGAAGGGGTTCATGGTGTGTCACGCTGTGCTCGCCCGTCAGTTTAAAAAGGCTGTCAACCAGAAGTCGCTCTCGAGTCTCTTCACTACTTGGATCACTCATTTGGTTCCTAAAGATCCGGGTGCCACAGACCTGAGCAAATACCACCCCATCACATGTTTACCAATCATATACAAGACACTAACATCCATTTTGAGCGCGAGAATCACTCGTCACCTGGACTCAAATCAGGTGATGTCGCACGCTCAAAATGGATGTCGGGGCGGCGGTTATTGGCAAGGAGGTGAAACGCAACCGTCGGAACTTCTCCGCCGCCTGTATAGATTACAGAAAGGCATTCGACTCGGTGTCCCATACATGGCTAAAGAGAGTCCTCGAGCTGTACAAGATAGACTGTACAGCGTACAGTTAGATTCTTTCTCGAGCAGTGTATGGGGCAGTAGAGTACGATCCTTTGTCATCTGGGCGAGCGGATGATGGCTGTGGAGAACCACATAAGGATAAGACGGGGTATCTTCCAGGGCGATTGTCTGAGTCTAATCTGGTTCTGCCTCTCTCTGAACCCTCTCAGTACCGTACCTCTTGGAGGGCTCTGGGAGGGGATTTCAGCTACGGAAAGGAGGGACAAAAGTGACCCAACTTTTCTATATGGATGACCTCAAGTTATTCGCCTCCAGTCGCTCCCATCTTATGAAATTGCTAAACATCACTTGTGAATTTAGCAATTCCATTGGAATGGAGCTGGGGACGGATAAGTGTGCGGTCATCCATGTTGAAAGGGGAAGAGTTGCTAACTCTCAGTCAGTGCCTTGCCAAGAGGTGTGAGCGCCGTGCCTCGGCAGAATTCAGGGTGCAAAGGCCCGTTTGTGCTTACGGCCGTACAATGTTACAATGAAACGGTGCCGGACCTGGGCATATTCCGTTAATTGTCGCCCAAAAATGGGTGTTGTATGTGTAAGTTTTGTCTGTGCAATACAGGTTCAGGTTATTAAGACCAACATCTATCAGAAATACATCCTAAAGGATGGCACCGTCGTCGTCTGTCGAGCTTGTCGCCATCCCAGTGAGTTGCTTAGACATGTCATCTCCGGTTGTTCGGCGCTTTCTAACTCTGAGTACTTACAGAGACACAACCTAGTAGCCAGAATTCTACATCAGGAGTTCGCTCTGAAATACGATCTCGTGGACCGGAAATTGCAGTATTACAAGTAATTGCTGGAACCGTGCTCGAAAATGATCGCGCCAGGCACTACTGGGACCGGGCCATCATCACAGACAGGACTATTCTTGCGAATAAGCCTGATATTGTGCTGATGGATCGGGCGTAGTCAAGGATATTTTTGGTCGACATTACTATTCTGTATGACGAGAACCTCGTGAAAGCCGAAACAGATAAGCTAACAAAAATCTGGACCTGGCTCACGAGGTGACTGACATGTGGGGTGGTCTGACAACCGAAATTATTGCTGTAGTCGTCTCTGCTAATGGGCTAATCCCAATCAGCCTCTCAGGTCATCTGAGGCGATTGGGACTCGGTGACGGACCGGTCCGGGCTCAAATGCAGAAGGCAGTGCTCCTCGATACCGCCCGCATCGTCAGCCGGTTTCTTTCCTTTTCCTCCTAACCATCGGTTGTCTGGTCTCCCCTGCCGAGGGCTTCCATCTGGTTGGATCTTTATTTATTTATGTATTTTTGTATTATTATTTTATTTTATTGATATTTATTGATATTTATTTATATTTTCATTTTAATTTATAATTACATATTTAGAATTACATATTTAGAGAACCCAACCAGATGATAAAATTATATATATACCACATAATAATAATATTTGATTTTCAATGATTGTCACTATAAACCATTCCCGAACCACGCCCGCGGTAACAAAAAACAGCTTTATACCAGGGCCTCTGTCGTCACCTTGTAACGTTGCACGTACATGTATGCATAATTATAATTAATCGGTTTATTAAAATTAAATAAACATTTAATAAACTAAATAAAAATAAATTAAAAGTTATTAACAAAAATAATTCTATAATTAACTTAGGTATCCTATTAATAAAACAAATCAGTAAACTAAAAGAACGAATTAAATAATAAATCAAATATTAAAATATTGTATTTCGAACAAACACTCTGACGCTTCGTTACTCTATGCGCCTTGCAACTCTCGCGTCAGAGTTTTACCCGGCCGGTATTATTCCACGGCGTCGCGCTCCCGACCATTCTCCGCCCGAGCGCCCTGGGAGGCGCACACTACCACTGCAGCCGCGTTCACAAGCTCTGCTTTGTGTCCTCGTACGCGCTTGCAAATTTTAATCCCATTTTGGAAAAAGTTTAAAATAATATAATAATTCCGGCACTGTGGCCGTATAGTTTTTTCGTTAATTCTCGTCACCGAGACCTCCGTATCGTCTTGCACCCCGTAAGGGTAAGTGTTGAAACGTTACCTAGTTTTAAGTAGTGAAAGTGTTTTATAGGTAGTGTAATTTGATCATGCCAGGCTGTTTGCTTTTAGCTATTTAATTGCCACGTTATTAGTGTTATTTGCATGTAAGTAATGTATGTAGCCGCTGTGCGCGTTGGCAAAAGTACCGTTACAAAATGGCGTCTCATACATTTCGCACCGCGATCAAATATCGCAAGTCACCATCATGTTTCAACCAATGCACAGCCTAAATTAGTTATCCTGGTACATTTAAACAGTATTTTACACTTGCCGTAATTTTAATTCATGTGTATTTTAATTGCGCCTCACCGCTATGACGCTTGCCTTCCATTCCGCCTTGTAACTCCGTTCTGATTATGAACACCCGCCAGCTACTCTCTGTGCTCCCATCTACTGCTAGCCTGCGATATACCGGGGGTTCATAATCGGCGGCATTTTATTACCTGGACCTAAATTTGGACGACGTTGTTTCCAGGGTGCAATTTTACGACTACAACCGTGGCGGTCGTCCTTCTTAAGAGGGCCTAGGCCTCCCCCTCGACGCCGCCACCGCCACAGCCAGCTGCCCACGGCGCTCCCCGTGAACAGTCCAACCCCCCGGCCCTGCTCGACCACCTCGCGGCCACATAGGGGAGTACCTGACCCTGCCAGTGAAGCCAGACGGGCATTTTTTTTTAAATTATCGGAACCACGCCCACGACCTTTTCTTTAATTTTTTTTTATGACTGGTTGTTGCATTATTTTAAACCGCGACCGCCACACTGGCGCCCATAAACGTGGTAAAAAAAGGTCTGGTTTCACTGCGTAGGAGTAGTTGGTATTTGTGTCGTTTTGTGTTTGTGAAACGTTTTTGTTTTTTTTTTTGTTTTTGGTTGCAGCAACTAATGTGTACGAATTTCATTATTGTGTTTGTTTTAGGAATTTTATTGAATTTCAATTGATTTATTTATTTACTTTTATTATTTGAGAGATCATAAACTTTAATCCCTAACTAAGAATTTGTTTAGTTTCGAACAACTTTTCGTAATCACTCTATGCCGTGCACTACCCTATGTTGTTTACGTTCTATCATTGTACAGAGTAGTTAGCGTGCAGAGTGGTCACTTTGTAATCTGTGATCGGGTAAATTTAATATTTTTCCGAGGTATTACTATTCTATTCTGCAGTAGGTTTTTTTTCTCGTGGTTTTTTTTTTCTGTGATATCATTATTATTGAAATTTTATGAATTGTAACTATTCCCTATTGTTGCTGCAGAACTCTAGTTCAGTTGAGTCACGCATGCGTTGGTAGTATTTTAAATTATTCAATCAATTGTTTTTTATTTTAATTCTTAGGCATATTATTATTATCTTGTTGTTGTTTTATTTAGTTGTTCGAGTACACATTAGTTGCGTATTTAAATTTTTTGTTGCGCTGCTTCTTTTATTTTGGTGGCAGTTGCTTTATTCTTTTTACTGCTTCTTTTATACGCCAATCGTTTTAGTCAACCAGAACGTTCTTAGTACCTGATATTATAATTGTAACGGAACGGAGTAGATTAAGTCAGTAACGACTCAACACTTACCTCTTTGCGGTTATACGCGTGTTATAATGGCGCACTCGGTTAAATTCCTATCGTTGCAAAAGTCGGAGTTAGAATACGAAGTTGCCATTAGAGGTTCCACCCCGGCTGACACAGTCAGAGAGTTACGCGAGCAGATTGCTAAATTAGGTCCACTTTTTCCTTCGGAGGACATTCTCGAGAGCGTTTTGTCTGTCGGCGATGATTTAAAGGGAGTCAGCGATGCTTTAATTAAGCTAAGAGCATATATCGAGGCGCCTAGCGATGGGAATGCGTTGCTTCGTGCTCGCAACCTCATTAACCACCTCCATCATCGACTCAACCGTATAGTTTGTGATAGCACGACCCAGCAAGGGGTGGTGGATACGTGTGTTTCGGAATACAGGCAACTTTTGGAACGCTATAATGCTATTACTGCTACTGATTCCACCCCTTCTCTGGCATCTAGAGACCCTCAGTCTACTGCTGCTTTACCTCTCAACGTTAACGTAACTTGTGAGCGCGGCGTGGCTAGTGAGTTCACTAAGTTTAAG